ATTCTCTGGAGTTTATCACTTTGGTTTTTTGGGGTTTTTTTTTAATTAAAAATCACAACTAGACCCCGAGTAAGACCCACATTCCTGGCTGTGCATCCTCACTCCTACCTTAACTCCAGCTGAGTTGATTAAATCCAAGTATTTCTACATGTTGAGTCATAAGGAGACAGAGTTTTCTGGCTGCTGCTAGTGGTGGGTTTCTCTTTATTTTTCTTTTTTTTTATTTAATTTTTTTTTCCTCTCCTTTAAATCCCAACTGCAGTTCTGAGTCAGACCCTGCCTGGTTCATTCGGGGAGTTTCGAGGCGAGTTTCCATTTATACAGGAGCTTTTCAAAGCCAAATTTCTGCCTCCCCTCCTCCTCCTCCTCACCCCGAAACCAGCAGAGAGCACACACTGCCCCGGGAGAAAATGCAGATCGTGACTAATCACACCCAGGAACCATCATGAGACAGAAGGAAACCACTTCCAGCACTTCCCCACAGCCTCACCTGCCCCCCAAAGCCCCCAAATCCCCCAAGCTCAGCCCAAAGCACAGCCCCGAGCTGACACTGCCCAGAAATCCTCCCCTCCCTGACTCAGACCTTCCCACAGGTCACTCTCCACTCTCGCAGGACTTTTCCCGAGGCGTTGCTTGTCCCAGGATCCATCGGCTCCATCCCCCCCTGTCCCTTTTTTCCCCAGCCCCAAATCCCACAGGGCAGCCCTTTATCCAGACAAACCGGCCCCACAGCCCTGCCCCCATTCCCAGCCCAGGAAAACCACCACATCCTGGACACCCTTCCCTTCCTGCCCCCCTGCAGCCTCAGAAATGGCACCCCCCAAGCTTTGTCCAGCCCTAAACACACAAAAAAAACCCCAAAAACCCTTCACCCTTTACAGAGCACCTCGAGGCTTCCCTTTCCCACCACCCCCCCCAAAAAAAAAAATCCCCAGTTTTTATCAAACTTGTTCCTCATCCACATAGGAATCAGTAACACCCCTCCCCTCAAAACACTGATGAAAATGTCCCCCAACGCCAGATAAAAATAAAATAAAAACCAGGTAAAATCCCCCCAACACCAGGTGCAAAGTCCCCCTCAAAACCAGGTGCAAACCCCACTAAAACCAGGTGCAAATTCCCCCCAAAACCAGGTGCAACCCCCTCAAAAACCAGGTGCAAATTCTCCCCAAAACCAGGTGCAAATTCCCCCCAAAGTTAGGTACAACCCCCTCAAAAACCAGGTGCAAATTCCCCCCAAAGCCACGTTAAGAACCCCAAAATTCATCCCTCCTGCAGCCTCCCTGTCCCCCCACTGTTTCAATCCCCCAGGAAACGCCCCCCATTTCCTGAACATCCCCCCCAAAACCGGCTGCAAGGGCGGGGGGGTGACACTTGGGGACCCCCACAAGGCTGGAGGTGGGCACTGAGCCCCCCACATCCCACAGGTGAGAGAATGCCCCCCAAAGCAGCCCTGCAGGGAAATGGGACCCCCAAAACTGCAGGGGTGGGCACTGAGCCCCTCACACCCCACAGGTGAGGAGGACCCCCCAAAGCAGCCCTGCAGGGAAATGGGACCCCCAAAGCTGCAGCTCAGGGCCCCTGGGGACCCCCAGAGCAGCCCCCCAAGCTCAGGAGGGACCCCAAAGGTCTGAGCTGCCCCCAAAGCCCCTGCTCACACACAGGGAGCCCTCAAAGCGCCCCAAACAAACCCCACAGGCCGGGAATTTCCTCCGTAACAGGAAGGAGTCCCCGAAGCAGCCCCTGGACCCAGGCAGAGCCTCGTGGAGCCCCAAATCCCCCTCCACAAGGGCCCTTCAGCCCAGAGGGAACCTCCTGCACCCTCCAGCCCACCCCAAAGCAACGCCTCAGACTCCTGCAGCCCTAAAACCCTCCCAAACTGGCCCCCAGAGCACAAAACCCCTCCAAACCACCCACAAGGGCCTGAGGAGATTCTCCTGGCCAGAGAGGCCCCCTCTGAGCAGGGAATCCCCCCCAAACACACCCGGGATTCCCCCCCCCCGTTCCCCAGCTCCCGGGGCGGCGCCTCCGGCCTCTCCCCGCTCCCCTCCGTTCCCCCCGAAGCCCCTGGGCTGCCCCCTCACCGTGGGCATTGAGCGGGCCGGGGGCCGGGCGGGGTCGGGCAGGGTCGCGGGCGGGCGGCGGGGCCCGTGACGGGGCTGGGGCTGCGCTGGGCCCGGTCCGGCCGGAGACACCGAGAGCCCGCGCGCCGCCACACGGCTCCTCGCGCACAGGCCGCGCCCCCCCCCTCCCGCCCGCCGCCCCGTGGTACGGCCCGCCCCTCACACCCACGGCCGCCACAGTGGTACGGTCCGCCCCCACACGCCCCGGGGCAGCGCGCTGGGCGCGTCCATTCCAGGCCTGGAGTGGGGGGGGGCGGGGGGAGAATGGGGAATGGAGGGCTGCATGAGGAACTCGCAGCACTTTGGAGTGTCTGGAGGGGCCTCCAGGGAAAGCGGAGGGGGATCCTTCGTCACGAACTGCAGTGATAAGACAGGCAACAATAGAGGTTAGGTATTAGGAGGAAGTTCCTCTCTGTGAGCGTGGCGAGGCACTGGCACAGGGCGTGGAATGCCCCGAGCCTAGAATTGTTCGGAGCCAGGTTAGATAATACCTTGAGCAACCCGCTCTAACAGGAGGTGCCCCCTCTCCACGCATCCTTCCATACCTCATAGCAACCCCCCCCTTATATCCCATGGTACAGGCCTCTCCCCCCCACTTTGGGCATTGGTATAGCCCGGGGCGGCTCGCCCTCCCTTGGACATCCCGGACCCCCCCGCAGCCCTCCGACACTTGGACCGGCTCTCCGGCCGCACGTGCACACGGAGCCTTCCACGCCAGCATCCCCCCCCGCCAGCGCAGTGGTACAGCCCGCTCCTCCCCACTGCCGTCAGTGGTTCGGTCCTCTGGGGGGGGGGGTTTTCCTACGGCTTCCGCTTCCCTCAGCCCGCGGCGGGACCGGGGCCGGGATTTGGGAACCGGTTCCTGGGTACAGAACACACGGGGTGCGTCTAGCCCTGTCCCCCGTGGAAGCCCCGCGTCCCCCGGGAGCGCAGCCCGCGGTGGAATCGGTGATCCGTGGATCCGCTCCCGGCTGGAGCGCGGCGTTCCGTGCGTCAGAGCGTGGCTGGCCTCAGGGGACCCGAGGGGACACCCCTGCGGCGTGGCCAGGTGTGACAGTGCTTGTGCAACACCTGCTCCCGATCCCACCTGGAAAAGGGAGGCAGTTCCCGTCACAATCCTGTGCCAGAACCCGCTCAGAGCCAGCGGTGCCAGCTGGGGCCACCGAGTGCCACGTGGAGCCAGCGCGGTGTCCCCAACATCGGGTGACATCTCCTCACAGCGCAGGGAGAGGTGGATTAATAAAGATCCCTTGTTTCCTGCACGGGCTGGAGGAGATGTGTGATTTCCCTAATTATAAAAGTTGTTGTCTTCCCATTTCCCATGCCCTGACTGTGGAATTTTTAATAAATGGCTATGTTCTATACTAATTTAAGCAGCTGCAGCGCCTGGAATGTGTGCTAGTGAAGTGATGCCTCCACACACAATAATAGAAACCTCTGAAAAATAGACTTTTTGCATTTATAGAATCATGGAATACCTCAAGTTCGGAGGGACCCATAAGGGCCACCAAGTCCAACCCCTTGCCCAAACCCATTAGCGAAGAAACTCGAAGAATCATCCATGAAGGAGCAAAACTGAGGGTGAGAAAAAAGGAACCAGCAAACCTTTGTCACTCAAAATACACAGAGAAGCTGCTCAGTGCCACTTTGCTGGGTTTCATGGCTCTGCAAAGTTATAACTGGAGTCACATAAACTCTGATAATCACAGGCATTAGGGCTCTTTTCTTTCCTCTTTCAGCACTGTGTGATAAGAGCAGCTTCGTCCTTCAGGGACACTGAGGGATTGTCCCCAGAGTGGGCTGTGCCCCACAGGACCGTGAGGGCAGGGAAGGAAGGCTCAGCTCCCACAGGGCACTGCTGGACTCTGGAGGCCGGGGAACACGCTGAGCCCTCGCAGCAGCACTACCCCTGTACCTCAGGGCAGCGCTGTGCCCCGGGCAGGCCAAATCTCGGTCCCCATGGCCCAATGCCGGCTCCCCCTCAGCCCCTTCCCGCGCCTCAGCGCCGCCGCCTGGCGGGAATGCGGAGTGCGCATGCGCGGCACGGCCCGGGTGCAGTGCGGGCAGAGCCGCGGGTTCGAGTCCTGCACTCGGCGGTTCGCGTGCGGCCACGGTTGGAATTCCGCCTGCTCTCCCCGTGCCATTGTCTGTTCTCTCGCAACTTTGATTTTATGATTCTATGGATAAAGATTATATATATAAAGATAATAAGTGTACTCTAGTACAGTTTTGGACCCCTCAAAGGTTCGTGAAAGATCGAAGAAAATGCCTTGTGAGGAGCGGCTGGGGGAGCTGGGTTCAATCTTAAGAGGAGGCTGAAGGGGAACCTCATTACTCTCCGCAAGCACCTGCCAAAACCAGCTACAATACCAGGCACAAAATGCCAGGAGCTTGTGGTGAGGTGGGGCCGGTCTCTTCTACTGTGTGAAGAGTGAGAGGAAACGGCCTCAAGCTGAGACAGGACATATTCACAGCAAATATTAAGATTTTTTTTTCGCACTCTGTGCAGCTACACATTGGGAGGGGCTGCTTGGGGACGTGATGGAGTCCCCGCGTTTAGAGGCGGGGTTGAGGGATTCCAACAGCAGCGCCGTGCGAACTGGATGAATGATCCTCTTCCCACATCCACGATTCCCTCCCTCCATCATCCCCCGCTCCCCTCACGCCGCCGCTCCCGGGCCCGCGCCATTCCCGCGGGGGCACGCGGCGCACACGCGGGGCGCTCCCGCCGCGGATCCCCCCTCACACTCACACACACACAGAGACACCGACACCGGTAGAGGGCGGAGCTTCCGGCGCGGCACTTCCGGCCCGGGCGCTGCGCGGGCGGTGTGGCCGCTGCGCTCCCGCCGCCGCCGCCGCCGTCCCCGGCCCGGCCCGGCCCGGCCCGGCCCGGCCCCCGCCTCCCGTCCCCGGCACCGCCTCATGCAGCGTCGCGACGACCCTGCCGGTCGCTTATCGCGGGGACAGGGCCCCGGCGGCCGCGCGCCGCCGCCGCGCCGAGCGCCCCGTGGCGGAGGGGCCCGCGGGGCCGCCAGCGGAGCGCAGCCGCCGCCCGGTGGGGCCGCAGCCGGCGGGGCTTCAGGCGCCGGTAAGATGGAGCCCGAGAACAAGTACCTGCCCGAGCTGATGGCAGAGAAGGACAGCCTGGACCCGTCCTTCACGCACGCCATGCAGCTCCTGACCGCAGGTACCGGCACCGGGGGCGGCGGGGCCCGGTGGCCGTTCTGGCTCCGGGGTTAAAATGGGCTATTTTCCTGTTAAAATGAGCTATTTCCTTGTTAAAATGAGATATTTCCTTGTTAAAATGAGATATTTCCTTGTTAAAATGAGCTATTTCCTTGTTAAAATGAGGTATTTCCCTGTTAAAACGAAATATGTCCCTGTTAAAATGAGATATTTCCTTGTTAAAATGAAATATTTCCTTGTTAATATGAGATATTTCCCTGTTAAAATGAGATATTTCCCTGTGTAATCGCAGCTTATTCCGCAGAGCCGCGAGTTTTGCGTGTGTTTTATTGGTGCTTTTGTTGTATTATATTGTGTTCTTGTGATGTGGCCTCAGCCAGACAGGAGAATGGAGAGAATCAAAACCCTTGAGAAAAGCGTTTAATAATTGAAACAAAACGTGATGGTAATAGTAAATAAGGTGATAAATAATGATAATTGTGATGTTGGGAGGGAGGAGAAACAAGCGATGCCCGGTTCTTCACCCCCCCATCCCCGAGCTCGTTCCAGATCCAGGGTAGCAGTGAGAGAACCGTTTAATAATTAAATCCGTGAGAGAAGCGTTTAATAATTGAATTAAAACCTGATGGTAATAGTAAATACGCTGCTAAATAATGATAATTGTGATGTTGGGAGGGAGGAGAAACAAGCGATGCCCGGTTCTTTACCACCCCATGCCCGAGCTCCTTCCGATCCAGGGTGGCAGTGGCGGTCCTGGGGATGAAATGTCCCTTTGGACCATTCGGGTGACCTGTCCTGCTCTGGGGACAGCTCCTCTCCTTTCCTGACAAGGGTTAAATGCAGCGCACCAGGCTGTTGGAAACGTGATTCCCATAAAAATCCCTACAAACAGCTGTCGGGAAGAACAGCAGCTCTGTCCCTGCCGAAATCAGGGCAGCCCTTGCACCCCTGGGGGACAGAGGAGCTAAAATTGAACCTGAAAGAGCCACGCGGGGAATTTTCCCTGCTGGAAATGCAGGGAAAGGGCTGGGATGGAAATGGAAATGGCAGCCTTTGTTCTGTGCCCAGCCTTCCCTTCCCTTCCCTTCCCTTCCCTTCCCTTCCCTTCCCTTCCCTTCCCTTCCCTTCCCTTCCCTTCCCGGCTCTCCCCCTCCGCACCCCCGGCCTTGGAGGAGGCTCAAAAACGGCCACAGTTCAAAAATTCCCAATCTCTGCTTGCCCGGGAGCTGGGAGGCTCCCAGAGCAAGGATCTGCTCAGATTTCATCTCCATCGGTGCTTTATTATTATTATTATTATTATTATTATTATTATTATTATTATTATTATTATTATTATTATTATTATTATTATTATTATTATTATTATTATATATTTATTATATATTTATTATATTTTATTATTATTATTTCCACCAGTGCTTAAATTTTTTCCACCTATTATTATTACCATTATTATTATTATTTCCACCGGTGCTTTTAAAAATTATTCTTACTATCACTATCATTGTTATCATTATTATTTAATTTCTATTCTTTTATTCTTATTTTATTATTAATAACGCGGTCACTATAATTAATATTATTATCCGTAATTTATTTAATTTCATTGCTTTGTATTGTGATTTTAAAATAGTTATTGGAATGGTTAAATTATTTTAATTAATTAAATTATTAATTTTTAATTAATTAAATTATTTAACTATAATTTGCTCAGTAAGAATTTACTCCATAAGAATTTATTTAATAACAATTTATTTAATTCAATTATTTAAATTCATCATTTTAAATTATTAATTGGAATTTTTAAAATTAGTCCTTTCTCCGCCTGCTTTTTTTAAAATTATTTATTTTGTCACGGCTTAAAAATGCAGAGTTTTGGTGCAGTTCTAGAGGTTTTAGGAGCTTGTCCTATGCAGGGAATAATTCTTGGGAATTGCTGTCTCTCCAATTGTGCAAAGAACCCATCACAGCATCACCCATCAGCATCTTGATCTAAATAAATGAGTTTTATAATCCCATTTTCCATCACTTTAATGGTTCTGATGAATAAAATTCTTCATCCAGCTCAGCTCTGATGTCTCCCAGGCAAAGGAAATCCAAGGAATTTGCAAATTCCCCCACAAAGAGCAGCATCCTGCAAAGCCTGAGGGGGGGTAACAAGGATTTAGGAGGGTTTTTTATTTCCATTAATTATTTTTTAATTAATTTATTAATGTAATGATTGCAGCTGTGGGGGATTTAAAATTGGAGCAGCTCCAGCTGTGGGTATTTTGAAAATAACTTTTAAAAAATTAATATTATAATAATTTGTAAATAATACTACTAATAATAATAATAATTCTTCCCAGTCCCAGTTCAGGGTGAGCTGAGCAGGAAAACAATGAGCAAGAATTTGAGGTAAAATGGTGGATTTAGGTGATTTTTTTTTGCCTAGATGAGCCCCAGATTGCTCTGGATTCCTTGGAATTTCAGCCTGGGCCAAAGCTGTGCTGCACAACTCCAGCAAAAATCATTTCCAGAGCCACAAATGCTCCTGAGTGGCAGCAAAATTCTTATTCCAGCCTTTTTTCCCCTCCCAGAAGTGGAAGTTGCTCAGCCTGCCTGCCTCAGGGAGGGAACCCTGCTGGAATTCTGCAGCCATTTATTTTAAACAACATTTTAAAGTTGTCTAAAATACTGTGGTGGTTCTGTATTTTTAGAGGGGAAATTTTTATTTTTTTGGCTTTTTTTTTTTTGGGAGCAAGGGCCTGGCAGTGATGGGATTCTTATCGATTCCATGGACTCTGGCATGGAAGTGGCTGCATTGAGGCTTCTGTTATCCTAAAGAGAAACTGAAATCTGGGTTTTCTTGCATTTTCAAATATAATCCACATTTCCCTCCTGGGATTTGGGGTCTGTGTGATATTCCTTTTCCATAGGAACAAGAAAATCCCTTTTTTTTTGAAAGAGCAGGGGAGGTGTGAAGGGCACAGCCCTCTCTGCTTCCCGGCTTTGGGAAAATGGGAAATATCCCACCTGTGTGTCAGCCAGCTGTGGGGTTGGGGTGTTTTTTGGGAATTTTAGCTGGGTTTATTTCATGGAAAAGCTCCAAGCTGAGCTTCCCAAGGGTGTGTGAGCTGTGGGAATGGGAGCAGGGAGGAGCTGGGGGACTCCCCCAGGGAATTCCCTGCTGGATTCAGGCCAGCTCCAGGCTGTGCATTCCTGGGAATGTCCCAGGGCTGGTGGTGGCTCCTGGGACCCAGCAGGGATTGGAGAGGGCCGAGGTCACTGAGGTGAGAGGGAGTCCAGGGTGCTGGAGCATTTCCAGGCTCTCCTGATGGAGATTCCCTCAGTTCCTGTCCTTCAGTGGATATCCTGGATATCCCACACTGCCACCACTGCCACCTGAAACTGTCCCTCCCTGCTGTCTCGGGCTGCATTGTCCTGAAACCATTTCACCTTGCACTTTGCAACTTCTGGTTTGTTCGACCATTTTGGCAACGTTCTCAACTGCTGGAACTGCTGTGGCCATTCCTGTTCCCACCTCTGTGGCCATTCCTCATCCCAGAGCTGCGGCCATTCCCATTCCTGCCTTTGTGGCCATTCCCATTCTCCAAGCTGTGGCCATTTCCAGAGCTGTGGCCATTCCCCATCCCAGAGCTGTGGCCATTCCTGTTCCCACCTCAGTGGCCGTTCCCATTCCCACCTCTGTGGCCATTCCCGATCCCAGAGCTGTGGCCATTCCCAATCCCAGAGCTGTGGCCATTCCTGTTCCCACCTCTGTGGCCATTCCCGATCCCAGAGCTGTGGCCATTCCCACATCTGTGGCCATTCCTGCTGCTGTGATCATTCCTATTCCCACCTCAGTGGCCATTCCCATTCCTGCCTTTGTGGCCATTCCCATTCTCAAAGCTGTGGCCATTTCCAGAGCTGTGCCCATTCCCCTTCCCACCTCTGTACCCGTTCCCTTCCCACCTTTGTGCCCATTCCTGCTGCTGTGGCCATTCCTCTTCCCACATCCGTGGCCAGTCCTGCTGCTGTGATCACTCCCACCTTTGTGCCCATTCCCACCTTTGTGCCCATTCCCATTCCCACCTTTGTGCCCATTCCCATTCCCACCTCAGTGCCCATTCCCACCTCAGTGCCCATTCCCACCTCAGTGCCCATTCCCACCTCAGTGCCCATTCCCACCTCAGTGCCCATTCCCACCTCAGTGCCCATTCCCACCTTTGTGCCCATTCCCACCTCTGTGCCCATTCCATTCCCACCTCAGTGCCCATTCCCATTCCCACCTCTGTGCCCATTCCCACCTCTGTGCCCATTCCCACTTTTGTGCCCATTCCCACTTTTGTGCCCATTCCCACCTTTGTGCCCATTCCCACCTCAGTGCCCATTCCCACCTCAGTGCCCATTCCCACCTTTGTGCCCATTCCCACCTTTGTGCCCATTCCCATTCCCACCTCAGTGCCCATTCCCACCTTTGTGCCCATTCCCATTCCCACCTCAGTGCCCATTCCCATTTCCACCTCAGTGCCCATTCCCACCTTTGTGCCCATTCCCTTCCCACCTTTGTGCCCCTTCCCACCTTTGTGCCCCTTCCCACCTTTGTGCCCATTCCCACCTTTGTGCCCATTCCCATTCCCACCTCTGTGCCCATGCCCACCTTTGTGCCCATTCCCATTCCCACCTTTGTGCCCATTCCCACCTTTGTGCCCATTCCTGCTGCTGTGCCCATTCCTCTGCTGCTGTGCCCATTCCCATTCCCACCTTTGTGCCCATTCCCATTCCTGCTGCTGTGCCCATTCCCGTTCCCATTCCCACTTTTGTGCCCATTCCCACCCTCATTGCCCATTCCCATTCCTGCTGCTGTGCCCATTCCCATTCCCACCTTTGCCCATTCCTGCTGCTGTGCCCATTCCCGTTCCCATTCCCACCTCAGTGCCCATTCCCATTCCCACCTTTGTGCCCATTCCCATTCCCACCTTTGCCCATTCCCACCTTTGTGCCCATTCCTGCTGCTGTGCCCATTCCCACCTTTGTGCCCATTCCCATTCCTGCTGCTGTGCCCATTCCCGTTCCCATTCCCACCTCAGTGCCCATTCCCACCTTTGTGCCCATTCCCATTCCCACCTTTGTGCCCATTCCTGCTGCTGTGCCCATTCCCATTCCCATTCCCACCTTTGTGCCCATTCCCATTCCCACCTTTGCCCATTCCCACCTTTGTGCCCATTCCTGCTGCTGTGCCCATTCCCATTCCCATTCCCACCTTTGTGCCCATTCCCATTCCTGCTGCTGTGCCCATTCCCATTCCTGCTGCTGTGCCCATTCCCATTCCCACCCTCATTGCCCATTCCCATTCCTGCTGCTGTGCCCATTCCCGTTCCCATTCCCATCCCAGGAATTTCTGGGAGTTTCTCCCCTGTTCTCCATCCCAAATCTCACCTTTCCCTGCCCGTGCCCTTCCCCTGGCAGTGCCTCCCCCTCTCCCTTCTATTATTTTAATTTTATGCTATTAATATTTTTATTTCTAATTCTAGCATTCATATTTCTAACAATACATTTGTATCATTTTAATTTTATATTATTATTTCGATTCATTTAATTTAATTTTTACTTAGAAATTGAAAAAATTCAGAAGGGAGAGACAACAAAGAAGGATGAGGAGGAGAACTACCTGGATTTATTTTCCCACAAGAACATGAAACTGAAGGAACGAGTTCTGATCCCTGTCAAACAATACCCCAAGGTGAGGCCAGAAAAAAATCAACCAAATCCCTGAGCTTTTCTTCTTTTCTGTGGAATTTTGTAGCAGCAGCAGTTCAATCTTCATTTTAAACCAAAATTCAAAAATAGGGAGTTGTTGGTTTTTTTTTTTTCCCAGACCTGCAGGGTTTTTATTTGGAATATATTGAATTTTTGGAATATCTTGGTGATGCACAGCTGGGATCTTGGATTGCTGGAACAGACAATTCCATGGCTGGAGCTTTTTTTATGTTTTTTTTACATTTAATTCCTTAAAGATTTGCTGGAAAGCTGCTGCAGATGTTGGGATTGAACCACTTCATTTAACTTGATTTTTCTGCTGGAGCATTTGGTTTTTTTCATTAAAAGAAAGATTAGAAACCTGAATTTTCCTCTTGAAACCTGAATTTTCCTCTTGAAACTTGGATTTTGCTCTTGAAACCTGAATTTTCCTCTTGAAACTTGGATTTTCCTCTTGAAACCTGGATTTTCCTCTTGAAACCTGGATTTTCCTTTTCAACACTTAAATTTTCCTTTTGAACCTTGAATTTTCCTTTTGAAACCTTGGATTTTCCTTTTGAAACCTGGATTTTCCTTTTGAACCTTGGATTTTCCTTTTGAACCTTGGATTTTCCTTTTGAAACCTGGATTTTCCTTTTGAAATTTGAATTTTCCTTTTGAAATTTGAATTTTCCTTTTAAAACCTGAATTTTCCTTTCAAAGCTTGGATTTTCCTTTCGAAACTTGGATTTTCCTCTTGAAACTTGGATTTTCCTCTTGAAACTTGGGTTTTCCTTTTGAAATTTGGATTTTCCTTTTGAAACTTGAATCTTCTTTTAAAAACTTAAATTTTCCTTTCAAAACTTAAATTTTCCTGTGCATTTTTTTGGTAAAGTGAGGAGAAAATGGAATGTGATTTTTTTTTTTCCCTTTGCTCAACCAATAAAAAATTCAGAAAAATTTTTCTTGAAGTTTTTGAGCTCTGATTTATTTTTTGTTGGGTTTTTTTTTCTTAATTTCCAGTTCAACTTTGTTGGGAAGATTTTGGGACCCCAAGGCAACACCATTAAGAGACTTCAGGAAGAAACTGGTGCTAAAATCTCTGTACTGGGGAAAGGCTCCATGAGGGACAAAGCCAAGGTAAAGAAAAATAAAATTCCATTTCTTTTGGTGAGAATTAGCAGCTCTCCAAGCATTTTATTAAAAATTAAACCAGAAAAAAAACTTCAATTAAAGATTAATTTGAACATTGTTAAAATAAGGATTATTCTCCTCAAGAGCCATTCACTAAAGGGATTTTTTTCCCTCTCTATAAAAAGATTAAAATCCCTTTTTTAGCTGCTCTGAAATCTTGAAATTCTTCTGGTGCAGTGCAGATGTTGGAGCAATGTGTTCCTGATCATTTTTGGTCACAAAAGTTTTGAATCACAAAGTACCAGGAGAGGTTTTTAAACAGAAAAAAAATAATGAAAATAATGGGAAAAATACGATTTTTGTTTCTTCCTGCTTATTCTGAGCAGAGCTGTAGCTTAATTCTGATTTTACTTGAGCAGCACAAAAAGGTTTTATACTAATTTCTTAAATTACTGCAAAACAACCTGAGAAACAGAAATATCTTCAAGGTATCTTGAAAAAAATTAAAAATAAATAAGTAAAATAATTAATTAAATAAAGTTTAAAAAATAAAATAGCATAAATTAAATATAAAATCATAAAATAAAAAGAATAAATATACATAATTAAAAATAATAAAAATAGTTTTAAAGAGAAAAATTAAAATAAAAAATTTAAAAATAAAATTTTAAAAGAAAAATCTTATCTCGGTGTTTACACACAGATGTACAAAACCATGCAGGCTTCCTATAAAATTTAAAAACTCTTCCCAAATTCAATTTTTTAATAATTCTGTGTGGTTTGTGCAGGAGGAGGAGCTGTGCAAAGGGGGGAACATTAAAATTGAAAATAATTTTTTTTTTTAGATTTTTTAGATTTTTTAGATTTTTTTTTAGATTTTTACTTTTTTTTTTTTTAGATTTGTTTTAAAATTTTTTTTTTAGATTTTTTACTTTTTAATTTTATTTATCTCAGTGTTTACACACAAATGTACAAAACCATGCAGGCTTCCTATAAAATTTAAAAACTCTTCCCAGATTCCATTTTTTAATAATTCTGGGGGGTTTGTGCAGGAGGAGGAGCTGCGCAAAGGGGGGAACATTAAAATTGAAAATATTTTTTTTTTTAAATAAGATTTTTTAGATTTTTAAATTTTATTTATCTCAGTGTTTACACACAGATGTACAAAACCATGCAGGCTTCCTATAAAATTTAAAAACTCTCCCCAGATTCCATTTTTTAGTAATTCTGTGGGGTTTGTGCAGGAGGAGGAGCTGCGCAAAGGGGGGGATCTCAAATAAAAATAAATATAAATAAAAATAATAAAAATAGATTTTAAAATAAAATATTTAAAAATACATAAAATTTAAAACTAAAAATAATTCTTAAATTAATAAAAATAAACATGAAAATTGAAAATAAAATTTTTTTTGGAAAATAAATAAAATTAAAAAGTAAAAATCTTATCTCAGTGTTTACACACAGATGTACAAAACCATGCAAGCCATATGCCTGGTTTATATAAAATTTTAAAACTCTTCCCAAATTCCATTTTTTAATAATTCTGTGTGGTTTGTGCAGGAGGAGGAGCTGTGCAAAGGGGGGGATCCCAAATAAAAATAAATATAAATAAAATAAAATAGATTTTAAAATAAAATATTTCAAAATACATAACATTTAAAACTAAAAATATGTTTTAAAAATAAAAATAAACATTAAAATTGAAAATAATTTTTTTTTAATTAAATAAAATTAAATTGTAAAAAATCTTATCTCAGTGTTTACACACAGATGTACAAAACCATGCAGGCTTCCTATAAAATTTAAAAACTCTTCCCAAATTCCATTTTTTATTAATTCTGTGGGGTTTGTGCAGGAGGAGGAGCTGCGCAAAGGGGGGAACATTAAAATTGAAAATAATTTTTTTTTTAAATAAGATTTTTTACTTTTTAATTTTATTTATCTCAGTGTTTACACACAGATGTACAAAACCATGCAGGCTTCCTATAAAATTTAAAAACTCTCCCCAGATTCCATTTTTTGATAATTCTGTGGGGTTTGTGCAGGAGGAGGAGCTGCGCAAAGGGGGGAACATTAAAATTGAAAATATTTTTTTTTTTTAAATAAGATTTTTTACTTTTTAATTTTATTTATCTCAGTGTTTACACACAGATGTACAAAACCATGCAAGCTTCCTATAAAATTTAAAAACTCTCCCCAGATTCCATTTTTTAATAATTCTGTGTGGTTTTCACAGGAGGAGGAGCTGCGCAAAGGGGGGGACCCCAAGTACGCCCACCTGCACATGGACCTGCACGTGTTCATCGAGGTCTTCGGGCCCCCGTGCGAGGCCTACGCCCTCATGGCCCACGCCATGGAGGAGGTCAAGAAATTCCTGGTCCCTGTGAGTTTCCTGCTCCTCAGAGGAGCCTCTTCCAAACTCTGAAAATTCAAATTAAAATCGGGGAGAAAAATGGAGGAGGTTCGCACGTCTGGGGGGAGGGAGATCGCTCCAGGGAGCTCTGGAATGGGGCTGGGATCGCTGGGATGGTGCTGGGATCTCCAGGGAGCTCTGGGATGGGGCTGGGAGCGCTGGGATGGTGCTGGGATCTCCAGGGAGCTCTGGGATGGTTCAGGGAGCTCTGGGATGATTTTGGGATCTCCAGGGAGCTCTGGGATGGTGCTGGGAGCTCTGGGATGGGGCTGGGAGCACTGGGATGGTGCTGGGATCTCCAGGGAGCTCTGGGATGGGGCTGGGATCGCTGGGATGGTGCTGGGAGCACTGGGATGGTGCTGGGATCTCCAGGAAGCTCTGGGATGGTTCAAGAACCACTGGGATGGTTCTGGGATCTCCAGGAAGCTCTGAGATGGTTCTGAGATCACCAGGCACTGCTGAGATCACTGGGAATCACTGGGATGGTTTGGTGATCTCCAGGGAGCACTGGCATTGTTTTGGGATCACTGGGAACCACTGGGGTGGTTCTGGGATCTCCAGGAAGCTCTGGGATGGTTCAGGGACCACTGGGATGGTTTTGGGATCTCCAGGGAGCACTGGGATGGTGCTGGGATCTCCAGGAAGCTCTGGGATGGTTCAGGGACCACTGGGATGGTTTTGGGATCTCCAGGGAGCACTGGGATGGTGCTGGGATCACCAGGCACTGCTGAGAATCACTGTGAGGGTTCTGGGATCTCCAGGAGCTCTGGGATGGTTTTGGAATCACTAGGATGGTTTTGGGATCACCAGGAGCACTGAGATGGTTTTGGGATCACTGGGAATCACTGGGATGGTTTTGGGATCACTGGGAATCAGTGGGATGGTTCAGGGATGTCCAGGGACCATTGGGAATGCTTCTGGGTGATCTCCTGTGGCCCTTTAGTCCCCAGGGAAGGGACCTGCAGGGATCTGCCCGGCACGCTCTGCATCCCAACCCTTTCCTTTGAGAACAGGAACACTGCAGGGTCACCTTCTGTGGGCTCACTGCCCCTATAAACAGCAGCTGTGGGCTGAGTCCTGCCTGGGCTCTCCCCCATGAATCCTCCTGGCATCCCTGGCAGTCTGGGAGCAGCACCTGGAGCTGCAGGGCTGGAATCTTGGAGAAAGCTGCAGCAAATGCCACTAAAAGCAGATTTTCCTGCGGCCCGTGCAGTTATTTCATCGCAGCACAGCAGGCTGTGGTATCCCAGAGCTGTTCTCTGGAGCTGACCCTTCACCTCCTTATTGACCCTTAATTTTATCCTCATTTCTGTCCTTTCTGCAGGACATGATGGATGATATCTGCCAGGAGCAGTTCCTGGAGCTCTCCTATCTCAACGGGGTCCCAGAGCCCAACCGCGGCCGAGGCGTCCCCGGGCGGGGCCGGGGGGCAGCCCCACCTCCCCCTGTGCCAAGGTATTCCCAAAATCCCAGCCCTGGGAGTGCTGCCTTCACCCACAGCTGGGCTGTCTCTGGACTTAAACTGCTGCTCAGCTAGGCCTGACTTTGGGATTCTGGCTCAGAGCATCACGTTTGGGGTGTCATCCAACACTGGGCGGGATTTGGGCTGGGTTTCATCAATGGTTCCCATCCATGGTTCCATCCATGGTTCCATCCATGGTTTCATCAGTGGCTTCGTCAATAGGTTCATCAATAGGTTCATCAATAGGTTCATCAATAGGTTCATCAATGGTTCCATCAATGGTTTCATCAATAGGTTCATCCATGGTTCCATCACTGGTTCCATCACTGGTTCCATCAATGGTTCCATCCGTAGTTCCATCTGTGGTTCCATCAATAGTCCCATCACTGGTCCCATCAATGGTTTCATGAGTGGTTCCATCAATGGTTTCATCAATAGGTTCATCCTCATCCTGGGGTACTCTAGAACACAGGACAGTGCCACATCCCCATCCTGGGGTTCTCCAGGACACGGGACAGTGACACATCCCCATCCTGGGGTTCTCCAGGACACAGGACAGTGCCACATCCCCATCCTGGGGCTGTCCAGGACACAGGACAGTGCCACATCCCCATCCTGGGGCACTCCAGGACACAGGACAGTGCCACATCCCCATCCTGGGGCTCTCCAGGACACAGGACAGTGCCACATCCCCATCCTGGGGCTCTCTAGAAAGCATTACAGTGACACATCCCCATCCTGGGGCTGTCCAGGACACAGGACAGTGCCACATCCCCATCCTGGGGCTCTCCAGGACACAGGACAGTGCCACATCCCCATCCTGGGGCTGTCCAGAGCAGCAGCAGCAGCAGCTCCTGACCAAGCTTTCTGTGTCTCCACAGGGGCCGTGGGGTGGGTCCCCCTCCTCCTCCTCCTCCCCCCAGGGGTGCCCTGGTGCGGGGAGCCCCCGTGCGCGGGGCCCTGGCCCGGGGCGCTGCCATGGCCCGGGGGGTGCCCCCTCCCCCGGCCGTCAGGGGAGCCCCCGCGCCGCGGGCACGGGCAGCTGGCATCCAGAGGATCCCCCTGCCCCCTCCGCCCGTGCCAGAGAGCTACGAGGAATATGTGAGCAGGGGTTCACTGCTGCTGAGTAACGGGGTTAACCATGGGTGAGGGGTGGGCTGGGGGGGGTGAGGGGAGCTGGGGGGCACCAGGGGTCAGTGGGGTGGGGCTGGGATCACCAGGAGTCAGTGGGATGGAGCTGGGATCACCAGGGATCAGTGGGATCACCAGGGGTCAGTGGGGTGATTCTGGGATCGCCAGGGATCAGTGGGATGGAGCTGGGATCACCAGGAATCACTGGGATGGTGCTGGGATCACCAGGAATCACTGGGATGGTGCTGGGATCACCAGGGATCAGTGAGGTGATTCTGGGATCACCAGGAATCACTGGGATGGTGCTGGGATCACCAGAGATCAGGGGGATGATTCTGGGATCGCCAGGGATCACTGGGATGGTGCTGGGATCACCAGGGATCAGTGAGGTGATTCTGGGATCACCAGGGATCAGTGGAATGGGGCTGGGATCACCAGAGATCAGGGAGGTGATTCTGGGATCACCAGGGATCACTGGGATGGTGCTGGGATCACCAGGGATCAGTGGAATGGGGCTGGGATCACCAGGGATCACTGAGATGGTGCTGGGATCACCAGGGATCAGTGAGATGGGGCTGAGATCTCCAGGGATCAGTGAGATGGGGCTGAGATCACCAAGCACTGCTGGGAATGGCGTTGGGATCCCCCTGACTCCTGGTTCTGGGATCACCATTGGGATGGTGTTGGGGCTGTGACACTTTTCTGTCCCCATGCTCACAGGGCTACGATGACACCTACGCAGAGCAGAGCTACGAGGGCTACGAGGGCTACTACAGCCAGGGCCAAGGGTGAGTGGCATTCCCTCTTCCCAAAGCAATCCTGATTTTTTCCCTCTTTTCCCCCTCTTTTCCCTTTTTTTTCCCTCTTTCCCCTTTTTTCCCCCTCTTTTCCCTTTTTTCCCCCTCTTTTCCCTTTTTTTCCACTCTTTTCCCCTTTTTCAAATCCCATTTGAAGTCAGTGGAAACATTCCTGAGCTGCTACAGCCAGGGCCAAGGGTGAGTGGCATTCCCTCTTCCCAAAGCAATCCTGCATGGCCTTTTTCCCCTTTTTTTCCCTTTTTTTCCCTTTTTTCCCCTCTTTTCCCTTTTTTTCCCCTCTCTTTTCCCCTTTTTCAAATCCCATTTGCAGCCAATGAAAACATTCCTGAGCTGCTACAGCCAGGGCCAAGGGTGAGTTGGATTCCCTTTTCCCAAAGGAATCCTACATGGCCTTTTCTCCCTTTTTTCCCCTCTTATTTAATCCCATTTGAAGCCAGTGTAGCTGCAGAGTTCTGCTGGAATCCAGGGCTCAGAGCATCTTCTCTTTTGCTGGTTTTTTGTGGCAGTGGAATGGGATTTCCCTGTGTGTAACCACCTCATTGCTTTTGCAGGGATACAGAATATTATGATTATGGACATGGGGAGGCACAGGAAACCTATGAAGCTTATGGTATGTCTGGGAATTTTGGGATAAGGGAGGGGTTGGGAATTGCTTTTGGTCAATTTTGTTGTTTTCCAATGTCTGGATAAAAAAAAAATGAGTGTTTTTATTTAGGTCTGAACAACCTTTTCTGTGGGTTTAGGTTCTTCTCAATTCTCAATTTTGATTTTCTCAAAGGTGATGCTTTACAAAAAAAAAATCCATTTTTTATCTTTGGAAATGTTTAAATTTCCTTGTAGCTTTAGAATATTTCCAGGAGGTCTGGATTTCCACCCACAGCACTTGTGCTGCAGTCTGGTTTTCATGGGCTGGGTTTTACATGGTTCCATCTGCTTCCTTTATCCTCACAAACCCTGAGCCTGACTCTGTAAATCTGCTCCAAAATTGCATTTAAATGTCATGAGGGAGCCTCTCCTTGGCTCTGTGCAGCCACTTTGACTCAGTAGGCAAAGCTTAGCTAATCTCAATCATGTAAAACTCCCAATTTAAGCTGGGCTGAGCCAAAATGTTGTGATTTTACCCCAAAGGGCAGCCACACCCCACTCTCACTCCCCACCCATGGGACAGAGAGAGAACTGGGAGGCTAAAAGTGAGGGAATGAATGGGCTGGGATAAAGTTCACCAGGAAAAGCAAAATAAACCAAGGAATCCATTCCCTGCTTCCTTGGGAAGACATTCCAGAGGTCCCTCCCTGCCTCCTGCTGCCCTCAGCTGGGGCTGCATTTGTTTCTTTTTGAGGGCAGTTCCCATGTCCAGGCTGGGGATGGCCTCTGGCTGTGACAAGGAGAAGGAATCACTGTCCCCTGTCCCCAGAGCTGCTCTGGCCTGGCTGTGACAAGGAGAAGGAATCAATCATTGTCCCCTGTCCCCAGAGCTGCTCTGGCCTGGGCCAGGCTTCATTTTCCTCCCCAGAGCTGCTCTGGCCTGGCTGTGACAAGGAGAAGGAATCAATCATTGTCCCCTGTCCCCAGAGCTGCTCTGGCCTGGGCCAGGCTTCATTTTCCTCCCCAGAGCTGCTCTGGCCTGGCTGTGACAAGGAGAAGGAATCGTTGTCCCCTGTCCCCAGAGCTGCTCTGGCCTGGCTGTGACAAGGAGAAGGAATCATTGTCCCCTGTCCCCAGAGCTGCTCTGGCCTGGGCCAGGCTTCATTTTCCTGCCCAGGGCTGCTCTGGGACTGACTCTGGAGTTTTGTTGTTGCTGGGCAGGGCTTAGGCACATCCAAAACCTTTTCCTGCTCCTCACACAGGGAATTTGGGAGGGGAACTCAAGGAATTTGCCAGACCAGGTGAAATTCCCAAAGCTCCCCTTAAAGGTGTGGAATTCCATGTGGCTGGAACGAGTCCCTTGGGGACCAGCAGCAGTTTTGGGGGATCAGCAGCTGTTTTGGTGGAGCTGTTTTGGGGGATCAGGAGGTGTTTGGGGGATCAGCAGCTGTTTTGCTGGATTTTGGGGGATCAGGAGCTGGTTTTGGGGAGCTTGTTTTGGGGATCAGGAGCTGGTTCTGGGGAGCTGTTTTGGGGGATCAGGAGCTGTTTTTGCAGAGCTGGTTTTGGGGATCAGGAGCTGGTTCTGGGGAGCTGTTTTGGGGGATCAGGAGCTGTTTTTGCAGAGCTGGTTTTGGGGGATTGGGAGCTGGTTTTGGGGAGCTTTTTTGGGGATTGGGAGCTGGTTTTGGGGAGCTTTTTTGGGGATTGGGAGCTGGTTTTGGGGAGCTGTTTTGGGGGATTAGGAGCTAGTTTTGGGGAGCTGTTTTTGAGGAATGAGGACGTTCTTTTGAGGACCTGTTTTTGAGGATCTGGACCTGTTTTTGAGGAGCTGTTTTTGGGGAGCTGTTTTGAGGAATCAGGAGCTGGTTTTGGGGATCAGGAGCTGTTTTGTGGGACCTGTTTTTGAGGAGCTCTTTTTGAGGAATGAGGACGTTCTTTTGAGGACCTGTTTTTGAGGATCTGGACCTGTTTTTGAGGAGCTGTTTTTGGGGAATGAGGACCTGTTTTGAGGAGCTGTTTTGAGGAATCAGGAGCTGGTTTTGGGGATCAGGAGCTGTTTTGTGGGACCTGTTTTGAGGAGCTGGTTTTGAGGAATGAGGACCTTCTTTTGAGGACCTGTTTTTGAGGATCTGGACCTGTTTTTGAGGAGCTGTTTTGAGAAATGAGGAGCTGTTTTGAGGGATCAGGAGGTGGTTTTGGGGAACTGTTTTTGAGGATCTGGACCTGTTTTTGAGGAGCTGTTTTTGAGGGATCAGGACCTATTTTGGGGGAGCTATTTTGAGCGATCAGGAGCTGTTTTGAGGATCAGGAGCTGTTTTGTGGGACCTGTTTTGAGGAGCTGTTTTTGAGGGATCAGGAGCTGGTTTTGGGGATCAGGAGCTGTTTTGGGGATCAGGAACTGTTTTGTGGGACCTGTTTTGAGGAGCTGTTTTTGGGGAATGAGGACCTTCTTTTGAGGACCTGTTTTTGAGGATCTGGACCTGTTTTGAGGAGCTGTTTTTGAGAAATGAGGACCTGTTTTTGAGGAGCTGTTTTGTGGGACCTGTTTTGAGGAGCTGTTTTGAGGAATCAGGAGCTGGTTTTGGGGATCAGGAGCTGTTTGTGGGACCTGTTTTGAGGAGCTGTTTTCTGGGGGATCAGGACCTATTTTGGGGGAGCTATTTTGAGGAATCAGGAGCTGGTTTTGAGTATCAGGACCTGTTTTGTGGGCCCTGTTTTTGTGGAGCTGTTTTGAGCAATCAGGAGCTGTTTTGTGGGACCTGTTTTGTGGAGCTGTTTTGAGGAATCACAGCTGGTTTTGGGGATCAGGAGCTGTTTTGTGGGACCTGTTTTGAGGAGCTGTTTTGAGGAATCAGGAGCTGGTTTTGAGGATCAGGAGCTGTTTTGTAGGACCTGTTTTGGGGACCTGTTTTGAGGAGCTGTTTTTGGGGGACCAGGACCTATTTTGAGCAGCCATTCTCCCCCATCCCCACCCGCCCTTTTGCCTCTCCCACCCCATTTCCAGCCCCTTTCCCCCACCTCCCTCCACCCAACCCTGACCTTTTTTCTCTTCCTTTTCCCCACAGGCCAAGATGACTGGAATGGAACCCGGCCCTCCCTGAAGGCCCCCCCAGCCCGGCCAGTCAAGGGGGGCTACAGAGAGCACCCCTACGGCCGCTACTGACCCCAAAAACGGGGCCAAAAATCCCAATTTAGGAGCAAACTCTTGTTACTGGTTCTTGTATCTCCCGGGATTCCCGTTGCTTTACCCACAGCAGACAAGTAATTGTCTCCCTGTTTTTCTTCCTGGCCCTTTTTTTCCTCCTCCCACTCCATCCTCACCCTGCATTTTGGCTTCTGTATGTAGTGATTTCTTGATGAATTTAAATAGATTTAGAGGGGAAAAAAAAAAACAAAAAACAAACAAAAAAAAATTTTAATTTTTATTATTTTTATTTTTTTTTTTTTCTTCTTTCAGTGTGTAGATGGCTTTTCTTTATTTGTTGTTTTAGGGTAAAAAAAAAACAAAAAACAACCAAACAAACTGTACCTTTTTTAAGGAAAAAAAAGACAAAAAAAAACCTAAAAAGCAAGTTAAAAAAAAATGTTAGTTTCCAAAAGTGACATGCTTTGCTTAGTTCTGAAATTAAGGTTTTGTTAAAACTTTTAAAGTTTGTTTTAAAGGAACCCATAAAGGTTGTAGTTGCAGAATCCCAAAGTAGGCTACATTTCAAAATTCAGGGTTATTTTTTAAGAATTAAAATCGTAATGTAACAGTAGTGGCTGCCACCATTTAAAAAAAAAAAACAAAAAAATAACTTCAGATGCCAAACCTTTAAAAGGAGATTGCTGGTGAATCTTGAAGTTTAAATTTTAACTCAAAGGATCCTCCAAACAAATTAAATAGCATTTTCTAAAGAGAATTGACTAAAAAGAAAAATTAGGTTGGTAAAAAATTGACTTTTCTTATGTGGATTTTGAAATCTAGCCCCCCCTGCAGTGTTGAGATATGCTTGGGAATATTTTTCCAGTGGAAAGGGGTTTTAATTTAATTCTAAATTAACAATTTTTAAGGGGAAAAAAACCCCAAAATACGGCTCAAATTACCCAGTGTTTGATAAAAAGAATATTCCATGGGTAGGCCTGTAAAATTCTGATTTTTTGTAGCCCTTTGGGGCAGAAAATCTGATGAAAATTTCAACCTCACCCCAAAAAAATCTCAATTTCAAGCGGTCCCAGCCACTTCAAGTGTATCTCAGCACGAGCTTTGCATAAAAAGGGACACTGCAGCTCTAAAACAAAACAACAAAAAACAAAACAAAATTTAAAAAAAATCCAAGGCAAAAAAACAACCCCAAATTTCACTTTGTACATAAGATCTAAAGTCCTAATTGGATTTGTTACACTGTCCTCCCACTCTGTTCTGGAAGAGAAAAATGCTACATTTTGTGTAAAGTCTGCCTAACTAGGTAGCTCAAAACGTGTCAAAATGTCTGTCTCAAAATCTGTCAATAAAGTTTAGTCCTTTTTTAATCAAAGTAAATGTGATGAATTGTCATTTGTTTTTGGAGGTTTTTTTTATTTTTTGCAAACGACTTTAAATCCATGCTAAACTTAATTTGTCTTTTTGTTATTATTATTATTATTATTATTATTTTATGAGTATTATTTATTTTAAAACCGTGGAGGCATTTCAAAAAAAATGGTGGTTTTTTGGTAATTCTCGTGACAAAACAGAAATTTCTCGAGCTTGTCAAGGTTAAATTTATTTTAAAAAATATGAAAAAGACAAAAAAAATTGTTTTTCACCCCCTGGAAGTTGCTGAAAGCAGTTTTGAGGCAGAAATCTGAATTTGGGAAGCGTTTGATTGTTCTTTGCTTGATGATTCAGATTTCAGGTGGCCTCAGAGAATATTCCAGAGGCTGCTTTAAGTAGGAATGCTGAGAATTCCAAGGAATTTCCTTTCTGTAACCCCCCCTTTGGCTTAGATGATGCTTCCAAGCAGCTTTTCCTTGGAAAAACCACTTTTAAAATGAATTTTTTTTTTGTTGGTGGACGGTGCTGCAGCTGCTCCTTAAATCATTTCTGAGAGGGTGTGGATGTAGAGATATTGAATATATTTCTATTTTTAAAAATCAATGCTTCATGGTTTGTTATTTCCCATCCAGCAGATGAATTTGGAATTTTAGGGGGAGAGGATTAAAAACTGCTCGGGGGTGAAAAATAAAATTTTAGGGAAAAAAAAATACAAAAAACAAAACAACAAAAAACCAAAAACTGCAGCGCATGAACCGAGGGGAATATTTAAAAATAATTAAAAAAAAAAAAAAAAACCACAGAAAAGTTGTATTTGTAGATTGTTATTAAAATGCAAATAACTGAATTTTCAACACTGGTTTGGAGTCAGCTTTCAGGGCATAATGTGATGAAAAGCTCAGCCTATGCCCCCCCTTTTAAAGGAAAATTATCAGCAGGAGAATTCAGGATGTGTAAAACAGGCACCGCAAAGCCCAAAAGGTAAAACCCTAAATGTCTGATTTTAATCCAGCACATTTCTCTTTTCCATAAACCTGTGACGTAAACTTCTTACCCAGCCGACCCTTCAGATGTTAATTTAATGTAAAAAAGGGGAAAAAAAAAAAACAACCAAAAAAAAAAAAAGAGATGTTTTAAATATAAACATTTAAACCAACCCACGTGGCATAAATTAGCAATAACTTTTAATAATGTGCCCTTGGCAGATGCACTGGGATGGAATGTGGGCCAAAAGGGATCTTTAAATACCCTGGATTTTTTTAAAAGGACAAAAGATGTAAAATGAACATGAATCCAAGCTAGTCCTGCTACTGCCAAAACAAAAAAAAAAAGAAAAAAAAAACCCCAAATTCTGCTCAGTTGTTTGAAAATCTCAATTTTTAGCCCCCCCAGAATTGCTGTTTCCTGTGAAATGTCCATAGCTCAGCTGAACTTGCATGTTTTTCCTTCATGTGTAATTGCATGCAGGAATCCCTTTCTTTCTTTTTTCCTTCTTTTATTATTTTAAATTTTTTTTCCTTGCTATCTCTTTGTGAGGATCCTCACAATTTTCTCCTTTGATTTGCAGGAATTGGGGGCCCGTGACTCAACAGGAGGAGGAGGAGGAGGAGGAGGAAGAGCAGGGCCAGTGCCAGCTGGGTGAGTTTGGACTTTTGGGGGATTTTTTTACAACCCCTTGTTGAGTTCCCAGCGTGGGGGTGGCACCATCTGAGCTGCTAAATTCCAATTTTTATTTCTTTTTCTTTCCTCTCCTTGGATCCACACCAAAAAAACCAAAAGGGGAAAGCTGCTCCCCTGAGGTCACAGCGTGGAGGAGGCTCCTGAGCTGAGGTTTTTGGGGGGGATTTTAAGGGATTTTGGCACGCAGGAATTTCATGGGAGCTCTGGAAGCTTCTTTGCTTCCCAAACTTTGGGATATTTTTTCCCCCATGCTCAAGGAATTCCCTCTGGAGGCCACAATTCAGGGAAATCCAGGAAGAATTCCAGGCTGCAGAGCTTTGCACAGCCTCTGTTATGGGATGTGGCTTTGATGGAATCCTGCCAGGGAATCTCCCCACGGTGATTTTTGGGGCTTTCAAACCCTAAAAAATGGTGGGGTTTTTTTCTGGTAATTCTCGTGACAAAACAAAAAAATTTTTTGAGCTTGTCAAGCTTAGATTTATTTTAAAAAATACAAAAAAAGACAAAAGAAGTTGCTTTGCACCCTCTGGAAGTTGCTGAAAGTGGTTTTGGGCCAGAAATCTGAATTTGGAAAGCATTTGATGGTTGTTTGCTTGGTGATTTAGATTAATCTCACCCCATTGCCATGGGCAGGGATTCCTTTCCCTGTCCCAAGTTGCTCTAACCTGGAACATTTTCAGGGATGGAGCAGAGGGGATGATTCCCTAAAAAAAAATCTCTTTTCTGGATGATTTGGAGTGGTTGTGGGGTGATCACATCAGCAAGGACACAATTCCTTCATCCCCTTCCCTGTGGGATTCCAAAATGCTGCCCCTGGAAATCTGAGCTCCACAAATCAAAATCCACCTTGAAATGCTGGAAAAGCCCAAATCCAAGCTGAGCATGGGACATCAAAGGATAAATCTTAATTTTATAGGGGGTTATAAAGCTCCCAAATGAGCCCTTTTTACTCAGGAGCATCAGGAGCAGGGAAGAGCCAATTTGTGGGAATGCTGCAGCAGGGGGTTCACCCTGAATTCCTGCACTTGAAAATTGAATTTCTCTTAAAAAAAATCTCTTTGCTGGGTGATTGGGAGTGGTGGGGAGATGATCACATCAGCAAGGACACAATTCCTTCATCCCCTTTCCTTATGGGATTCCAAAATGCTGCCCCTGGAAATCTGAGCTCCCTGGAAATCTGAGCTCCACAAATTAAAACCACCAAGGAATCCACCCCTGAAATGCTGGAAAAGCCCAAATCCAACCTAAGCACGGGACATAAAAGGATAAATCTTAATTTTATAGGGGATTATAAAGCTCTCTTTTACCTCAGGAGCATCAGGAGCAGGGAAGAGCCAATTTGTGGGAATGCTTCAGCAGGGAGTTCACCCTGAATTCCCTGAAAATTGAATTTCCCTCCTGGCAGGAGGGAAATGATAACAGGCCTGGATTTGTGCTTATCAAATCCATCTTCATTTCCCGTGGAACTGGAGCATCAATTTTTTATGGCAATGCACCAATCTCTCCCATTTCTCTCCTAAATAGGCCCAGCTTTTAGATCAAGTGGAAAAGATTTGATAGAGATCATCTCTTAGCAAGCAATTTATTCCCAAATGGATCTTGTGGTGCTGCCTGTGCAATAACCCAGCTCGTGCCTTGCTTTTTGTGGGATGCTGATGGGGAAAGGATGGAAATGTGAAAATATTGGAATAACTGGATGTGCTTGGGAGTGTTTTGCAAACATCCCTTGGATCAGACAGCTCCCTCCTTCCTTCCCTCCCTCTCCCAGCACTTTTCCAGCCAGGATTTAGCCCTGGAGGCTGCCAGAGCTCATTTGGGATCCCAAAATAAACCCCTCAGCTTCAGAAGCAGCCAAACACTGCGGGGTGAGGCAGGGATTTGGGAGGGATGGAGATTCCTGGGAGCCTGAGTCACCTCAGTTACCTGCAGAACTTTCCCTTCCCTGCTGGAATTCTGCTCCCAAGTGCCAGGGATCTCCTCCTCTCCCTGTTTTCCCATCCACATCTTGTTATTTGTAGGATTTTGGGCAAGACCCCGATCCAGAGAAAATCCCCCGTTGTTCTTGGCTCTGTTCACATCTCTGGAAGTGTTTCCCAACAAAATCCTGGTTTTTGTCAGGCTGGGAACAGCCCCCTGCTCCATGGCTCAGCATTCCCATCTTCCCAGGCTGCTGTGGTGTTTGTGAGGTGAGAGATGAGGATTTCACTCCCCAGGTTCCCAGAAGGCTGATTTATTATTTTATGATGTTATATTAAAAGAAAATTATATACTAAAACTAGTATATCTACTAAATACTAAATATATATACTAAAACTACACTAAAGAAAGAAAAAAAGAGGCATCAGAAGATTAAACAAGAATGAGAATAAAAACTCGTGACTGACCAGAGTCTGACACAGCTGGCCTGAGATTGGTCATTAATTTAACAAAAATTAACATGGAACCAATCAAAGATGCACTTGTTGGTAACCTCCAGACCACATTCCAAGCAATCAGATAATCATGGTTTACATTTTTTTTCTGAGGTTTCTCAGGAGAAAAATCCTGGCAAAGGGATTTTTTAGAGAATGTCATGGTGGCACCCAGGCCTTTTCCCTGAGTGGGAGCAGCTCCTCCAGTGCAGCCCTGAGGTGTCAAACCCCAGCCTGGCCCTGCTCTGAGCTGGCCCAAACCTGGATTTTGTCCTTTGTGAGGAGCGAATCCCAGGAAAACGCTCCAGCTGGAATTCCAGAGGTGTCCCCAGCAGCTTTTCCTGGAAGGAGCCTCACCCCCTGCCCCTTCCTTACCCCTGCCTTCCATTTTCTGTTTGCATTATTTCAATAAAGCCAGTGGCTGCGAGCTTCATTCGATGGAATCATGGATTTAGGGAATGCTCCGGGGTGGGAGGGACCTCAAAGCTGCTCCAGTCCCATGGCAGGGCCACTTCCACTGTCCCAGCACTCCAGGGATGGGAATTTCTGGGGATTTTTTTTTATCTCCCAGCCTCACTGAAGGCACAGTGGTTTTGATCTTTTACCTCCAAAATTCCAGCTTGGATCAGCAGAGTTGGAGAGCACAGCTGGATTCCCTGTCCGGATCGGGACAAATCTGAATTTTAGATGAGAGCATCTGCCACAAGCAGAGCCAAGGAAAAAAAACAAAAAAAAAACAGCTGGAATGTGCATTTTTACCTCCTTAAGCCCTCCTGCTGCTCTCCCAAAGGAAATTTGGGATCAGGGGGATTCCAGCAGCCTGGAGAGACCCTGGAGGAGGAGGAGAGCAGGGAATGCTCCAGCTGGAGCTTTTGGGGAGGAAAATTTCTCAGGGAATTCCTCCCTCATGGATCAGGGAATTCCTCTAGGGATAAGGGAATTCCCCCCTCATGGATCAGGGAATTCCTCCATGGATCAGCAAATTTCTCCTCCCTGGATCAGGGAATTTCTCCCTCATGGATCAGGGAATTCTTTCTCCCTGGATCAGGGAATTTCTCCCTCATAGATCAGGGAATTTCCCCCTCATGGATCAGGGAATTCTTCCATGGATCAAGGAATTCTCATCCGTGGACCAGGGAATTCCTCCCTCATGGATCAGGGAATTTCCCCCTCATGGATCAGGGAATTTCTTCTCTGTGGATCAGGGAATTTCTCCTGCATGGATTAGGGAATTCCTCCTTCATGGATGAGGGAGTTTCTCCCTCATAGATCAGGGAATTCTCCTCCGTGGATAAGGGAATTCCTCCTCCATGGATCAGGGAGTTTCTCCCTCATGGATCAGGGAATTTCTCCTTCATGGATCAGGGAATTTCTCCCTCATGCATCGGGGAATTTTTTTTCCATGGATCAGGGAATTCTTTCTCCCTGGATCAGGGAATTCCTCCTCCGTGGTTATTTCTCCTCCATGGATCAGGGAATTCCTCCATGGATCAGGGAATTTCTCCTCCATGGATCAAACTCCATCACCTCGGATGAGCCGTGGGTGGAATTCCTGCAGGCTGGGCAGTGTCCAGGGGGCTCCCAGCTGGCATGGAGATGTTTTTCCCTCATTTTTCCCCTCAGGAATCTCCCTGGTGTGAGCACAGCTCAGCTGAGCCCTCCATATGTTTCCATGGGAATGTTTTTCCGCGCTCCTTTTGCTCCTTTTGCCAAGAGGGAGCTGATTCCAGAGGATCGGTTCAAGCTCTGTTTGCTGTGAGCGGAAAATGGGAATCTGCCAGGTTTTTTTTTGGGAGTGTTGGAGAACACCAGAGCCTCCCTTGGATCCTGGGAACTCCCCTGGATCTCCAGCTGCCTGTTGGAAAACTGAAATATAAACTGTTTCCCGATGGAGGTGTTCATTTTACCGCTGAATTTGGAATTTTACCACCGATTTTGGACCAAAAAAGGTTCATCCATCACGTTCCAGATACATTTTTTGGCCAGACTGGGTTTTTAGAGATATCCTGGTACCTTTAGAGGATTCCCTTAAACATCAGGTGTGTGGCCACTCCTGATTTTTGATGCTTTTCCACAGTCCCAGAATCAATTTAAGTTGGAAAAGCCCTCCAAGCTCTGTGACCAGTCACTCCTTGGACACCTCCAGGGCTGGACACTCCAAACCGGCCAAAAAAATAAATACCAAAAAACCAGCAAATTTTGTCTTTCTGCAAGTCCATTCATTCCAGGACCGATTTTCCTCCAGCATAGGCAGGGCTGCCTCTCATCTTTGTGTAACCATCAGTGCTGAAGCACCGACCCCACAAAGCCCAGCAAATAATTGGGGAAAAAAAACCCAAAATTGCAGAGATGCTGAAACCCCTCCAGGAGCGGAGGTGGAGCCGCGCAGGTGCCAGGGATTACTCATCCCCTGCCATAACGGGTTGCCAGGATAGCTGGCGGCTGCGATTGCTGCCGTTGGCAGCGGTGACACCGGGAGGTGACACCGGGAGCTGACACCGCGCTGCCCGATGGGCGTGGTCCGATGGGCGTGGCCACACGCAAAGGGGGCGTGGCTTTCTGCGCGTTCGCGCCCCGCACCAGCTTGTCCCACGCCGGCCGCCGTCGCGCCCCGCCCGCCATATTGTGCCCGGCGCAGGCGGAGCGGCGGCCGGCGATGGGTGAGGGAGGCCGGGCCGGGGGCAGCGCGGCCGGGGGGGAACAGGCGGAACGGGCTGGGGGGGGGACCCGCCCGGCAGCCGGCGGGGAGCGGCCCGGGCGGCGGGCGGAGCGCGGGAGAGCCCCGCGGTTCGCCCCGCCCCGCCGCGAGGAGGGGGGCGGCTCCCGCGCCGCGGCCTCGCCCGGAGCCCCTCAAAGCCCCGCGGGCTCGGGGAGCGCTCAGGGAACCTTCACGGAGCCTTCCGTGGCGCTCCCGGGCGGGTCCGGAGCAGCTCGGTGGGGTTTTCAGAGCTGCTGAGGGTCCCGGTGTGCCCTCAGAGCACCAGGGGCCCTCTCAGCTTTTGTGCAGCCCCACCTGTGCCCCCAAATTTCTCCCTCAGAGCTCCTGGGATCCCCAGTGTTCTCCTGCAGCCCCACCAGTGCACCCAAAATTCTCCCTCGGAGCTCCCCCAGAGCTCCCAGTGCTCTCCTCAGAGCCCCCAAATTTCTCCCTCAGATCTTCTGGGGTCCCCATTGTTCTCCTGCAGCCCCACCTGTGCCCCCAAATTTCTCCCTCAGAGTTCCTGTGGCCCCCAGTGTTCTCCTGCAGCCCCACCTGTGCTCCCACATTTCCCTTGCACAGCCCCTGCTGCTCCCCCAGACCCCAAATTTTACCCCCAAATTTCCCTTTACAGCCCCCACATTTCCAGTTTCCCTCCTGGAGCCTCGTGGCTCCTTCCTGGACCCCAAATTCCCCCCATTGTTTGCCCTCAAACCTTCCACTGCTCCCAGAGTTCCCCAAAACCATCCCAGCATCTCCTAAAATCAGCAGCTCCCTCCAGATCCAGCTCCAGGACGGGGATTTTGGAGAACTCCCGAGCTCAGCTTTAAAACATCCTCTTTAAAACTCCCTTGGGATCGGTTTCTAAACCTCCAGCACACATTTTGTGGCTCCAGATGCAAATTCCAAAGCTGGAAATGATCCACCAGGAGAAGGAATGTGCCTGAGTTTCCCTCACAGCTCAGATTTCACTTGGAAATGGGGATTTTTCTTTATCGCTGGTGTGGATTCTCCTGAGGTTAACAGGATCCAGAGGAAGTTTGAAAAAGCTTGGGATGAGTTTTGTGTGTGGCAAACAAGCTCTGGAAAAGCTGAATTTGGACTCACCCCATTGACCTCAGTGCCATCAAAACATAAAACAGCAAATACCCTAAAAATGTGCTTTTTTTTCCCCATCTTAAAAAGGCAAAAATAAAATAACAATTTTAAAAAGCCGTAACCTTCAGTTCCAACACAAAACGATACCAAAATATCCCAAATTTCTGAATTTTTGGGGCCAGTTGTTGAGCATGTCTCGAGTCTGAAAAACAGGGATGACACCACAGGGATGGAGATGGAATTCCTTGTACAGTGATGAATTCTCAACCCCTCCTAGAGGTTGCATCCTTGACCTGGAGAAATGTGGGAGACAGAGGGAAAAAATAGGTGGAGAAATTTGGAATATCCTGGAGCAACGAGCTCCAAAAATTAAATTCGGAGAAATTGGGATTATCCTGGAGCGACGAGCTCCAAAAATTAAATTTGGGGACATTGGGATTATCCTGGTGACAGTGAGGCCTGGAATGCTCCATAAGAAATGCTAATTAATATGGAAAACAGGGATGACCACACACCCTGATGATTCCACCACAGGGGTGCAGATGGAATTCCTTGTAAAGTGACAAATTCCCAGCACCTCAGCAAGGCTGGAGCTCCCTGATTTTGCATCCTTGACCTGGGGAAATATGAGAGACAGAGGAAAAAAATAGGTGGAGGAATTTGGATTATCCTGGAGCAAATTTGGATTTACTGGAGCAACAGGCTCCAAAAATCAAATTTGGAGGAATTTGGGTTATCCTGGAGTGACAGGCTGCAGAAATCAAATATGGAGAAATTTGGGTTATCCTGGAGCAAGGGGCTCCAAAAATCAAATATGGAGAAATTTGGGTTATCCTGGAGCAATGAGCTCCAAAAATCAAATATGGAGAAATTTGGGTTATCCTGGAGCGACAGGCTCCAAAAATCAAATTTGGAGAAAATTTGGGTTATCCTGGAGCAATGGGCTCCAAAAATCAAATTTGGAGGAAATTTGGGTTATCCTGGAGCAAGGGGCTCCAAAAATCGAATTTGGAGGAATTTGGGTTATCCTGGAGCGAGAGGCTCCAAAAATCAAATTTGGAGGAAATTTGGATCATCCTGGAGCGATGGGCTGCAAAAATCGAATGTGGAGAAATTTGGGTTATCCTGGAGTGACAGGCTCCAGAAATCAAATATGGAGAAATTTGGATTATCCTGGAGTGAATTTGGATTATCCTGGAGCAAATTTGGGTTATCCTGGAGCGATGGGCTGCAGAAATCAAATTTGGAGGAATTTGGGTTATCCTGGAGTGATGGGCTCCAAAACTCGAATTTGGGGAAATTTGGGTCATCCTGGAGCAAGGGGCTCCAAAACTCGAATTTGGGGAAACTGGGACTGACGGGTGGTGACAGCGAGGCTCCCTGACAAATGCTAATGAATCGCCGCTAATTGTGCCCCTGTCCGTGTGTCCCTGCAGTGGTGGGGGCCAAGCCCAGCCCGCAGTGAGCAGCCAGGACCCCCCTCAGTCCCGGGCATGGCCGGGGGACGCCGGGGTCCCAACAGGAGCTCCTACTGCCGGACCCCGCTGTGCGAGCCCGGGGCCGCGGGCGCCGCCGGCCACTCCTCGGGCTCCTCGGTCACCGGCGTGCGCTCCCGCACCAGGTACGGCACCGGGGCC